AGTGTGTTAAAACCTTAAGCGCCTCCAGAAGAGAAGCACGAAGGCATATTGCAAGAAAGCAGAATTAAGATGATGAACCTTTGAGTGGACAATCTCTTTTATACAAATTATGTTCACTTTGCAGCAGACTAAAGTCCTCCGAATAGAAAACCTCAGCCCCCCAGAATCCATGACTCATTTCTTAGGTTTCAGATCGGCCAACTCTTCGTTGTTGGTGCTCAAGCAATATAACAAGTTTTCCTAATGCTGAGAGGTAATGTGAGATTCCAAGGCCATGTGTATCAAAATAAATAAAAGGAAGCAGGCACAAGAAGGATAATTCGGTTGAAATAAGCCTGTCATGGGATAGGTAAAGCGAAGTATGCCAACAATATTGATTAAGTAGGAAGGGTCTATTCCCCTCAATTTGTTTGGGTGGGATTGCCGAGATAGCAAAATGTATATTTTGTAGCCATCGACTTATTTTGCGTTTTCGAGACTGCCAGTAGATCATGTATCATATTTGTATTCTCCCTATTTCATTTTAATGTGATGAAGGAAAATTAGTTAAATTTTTCCACAATCCTAAGAGCAGGCCTCGTGTTTTCACTAAATCTCACACAGCCTTGCTCGTCGTGGGAATATTCATCTACTAGTCATTCATCATTTTAAACGAAATGGGATAAATACAATTTATGCATATGGTCTACTGGTGCTCTCGAGAACCTAATTACAAATAAAAATAATTAGTAAATGCCAAAGGTCGTACAGCTGGTTGTGCCTATTTCATGCTTCAGAGGCGTGTTAGCATTTTAACGAATGCAGAGAACAGGATTGACTTCAAGGATAGCATTTACTGGCAATCAATCAAGTGGTAAGAAAATGAAATGGAAAAACAAAAGGGGGATGAAAATGCTGAATAATATGACGATGGAGAATAGAAGCAAGATCTAAATAAAGCAAAATATGGCAGTAGAAATCGTTCAATTTCACTAAAAGCTCTTTGATGTACTTAGAAGGCAATACACTTGCATACAATACTGCACACGAGCATATTGTATGATGGATAAATGAAAATAAACTTTATTGCTTGTATCTCTAAATGGATTCAATCTAGGTTGACTGAAATATATCCCAACTAAACGACACAAGCCTGCAAATAGCTTAATAATTAGAAAAGAGTTTTGTTCATATTAACATGAATTATTTTTCTCAAACGTTCTCTGAAATGGCAGACATAAAGTATGAAAATGTAGGGAACTTTTCCCCATCTAAGAAAAGACATGGAGCCTTCTTCCCATTATTTTGAGTCGGTTACAAGAATAAATAATAGTTAACTATCAGTAACAGGGAATAAGAAATTTGTCAAATAATATTAATTAATTAATATAAATACAATAATAATAATAGTATATATATATATAAGTAATTTATTTAAAAAATAGAGAATAAAGCGAGTAGATAAATATTTGTTGATTCTACGTCCAAAACACGCATTATTTAAAACTACAATCGAAGAGGACCGATGACTGGACCTTGTATAAACTGTACCAGTACAAAGGATAGGTTACTCAAAGTAATTAGGTCGAGAGGGATATAAAGAGAATAATGGTGTACCAGTTTGAGGATGGACAGAAAAAGGTCAACTATGTGAGTTTGATGAGAACGTTTAGTTGCGACAGGCACAATCTGTCTGATCCGACGATTAGCAACATTGCTGTGGGATGTTTGAGCAAACATAGAAATAGAAACAGGAGTTTATTGTAGAATCGGAATGCCTGATCATTAGAAGGTTGAAGTAAATCAATTTACAAGACC